AAGAGTAAGAAGACTTTAACAACTTTAAAGCTTCTTCCATAAAAACAAAAAAGAAAGGTAGAAATAAAGGTGGAGACAGGGTCAATGAAGGACATAAGAACTGTGAGCACCAGGAGTAAAAGTGAAAAATAAAACAAATAAAAAAGCAAACAAATTTTTAAAAAAAACAGATGATTTGACCTTAAACGTGTTAAACGCCCCTTCTGAGAAGAGAAAACACGCACTTACTCAGGCTTGAGTGTCCATTAATGGGCCCATTGTTCTGCTTGTCTTATCAGATTTCATTAACTTCAGGTTTTAAGGTGGTAAAGTTGTGCTCAGGGACAGGGAGGCTCACAAAGCTTCCTATTGATGAAATTCTAAGAAAAACTCTATTAATCATGATCCTTTCTAAGAATTTCCCCCGAAAGTTAGAATAGTAAATCCTGGTAAAGATAAATGTTATTCCCAAAGCATCCTTGCTCCCAGAAGAGTTCAGGTGGAAACCTTTTAGGAGCAGGTAGGAAGGATTTTAAGAGCTTTGAAAGTTTTGTTAAGCAAAGGAGACAACATGCTGCCAGTGTTTCCTCTCCAAGAGAGCAAACAAAGTATTTGCACAATCTGATAAAATGTATCTTGTTTAAGCTTTAGAGCAGGGGAGTCAAACATAAGGCCCGGGGGCCACAGTCAGCCCAGCAAAGACTCCAGTCAACAGGACGGCTTTGGAAAATGTTAAGGAAGGTATAAATTTTGGACTTTTAAGTGTATTTTCACAAGTTTTACAGCTTTGGCTACTGATGAACACCTTCCCCATTCATTCAACACCAAAATATCATGTTTAGAGACAAACGATAAAATTCCAGAAAAGCTCCCTTTTTTTCCACTATTTACTACAGAAATCTGAGCGTTTTCTGTTTGTTTGTCTAAAGAGTCATGCTGATGGATTTCTTACATTTGCTACAGCAGCATGACATTAGAAAAAAGAGACCTCTGTTTGTAATTGTACTTCTTTTCCTTATATTAAGTTCATTAAATGCATATTATGGTTTTACACTAGCAGAAAGGGGAGTTTCACTGCTCCAGGCCACTTAAGATCAAAGTGGACTGTTTGTGTCCTGCAGTGTAAAATTAGCTTGAGCTGCTTCAGAGGCTCCGATTATTATACAACATGAAAAAACAAACTGAATGGACAACGCTGGCATGTTCATGTTTAACATGTAGTGATTAATTCACAACAGTAATATGAAAGAAACCAAGACAGACAGAGTCGGTGTCGCACTAGTTATTTAAAATGTCTCAAAAACTTTCAGCTTTAAATAAATCTATCAACAGAATATGAAGAAACAACTGTTTAATGTATACATGCACACACTGTGAAAAAGTATTTTTTCACATTAAAGTATTTAGTATTAGGCAAACAGTAAATACAAAATAAGGGAAACAGCTTTCCAATGCTGTTAAATGCTACAGATTAAATTGTGCACGGGTCAGTCTCATCAGCTCTCTCACTGAATACAACGTCTCAATCAGGGCAGAAAGTGCGGCGCTCACCACAAGAAAGGACGACTGAAAATGTGAAAAATGCAAACAGAACAGGAATGATGACTTGGATCTTTCAGAGCCTTTTAACCTGAGTTCCCCTGAAATATAAACTGTTAATCTGAGAGTGCCCAACACTCTGAGTGAGAGCATGGATCAGAGCAGTGGTGGAATGCACCTTAGTACATTTGCTCAAGTACTTTACTGAAGTACAGTTTTAATGTACTCTGTTTAAGTATTTCTGTGTTATGCTGCTTTCTTTTTCTGCTTCACTCCATTACAACAATCTAACCTTTAACAGGCCGGAGTCTTGCTTCCAGTTTATTCAACAGAGATGTTCACTGCATGAAAGTTTTGATAATTGCAGTATGCAGTGTAAACAGAGATTGTATGATAAGGTTATTTTTTTATGACCATTAACTATTAGATCATTGTCACTACTTTTTGTGTTGAAGATAAAACTCTTGCTCCTTTCCCTGCTCAGAGTTGCTCGAACTTTCCTTAATCCATAAAATCACATTTTAGGCTCAGTTAAAAGCTCTAAGAATGTTTGTTAATCCCGGCCAATCATTTTGTTTTTCTTTGAGAAGTGTTAAACATTACTCATCTATGGTTTGCACAACTGTTTCCCATCCGTGAGTCTTATCCTTGTTTGAGCTTAACTTGTTATTTCCTAGAACTGTTTCGTTGCACTTTCTTGCCTTGCAAACAGTTTCAGGGTCAGTCTTAATGCCAGATGACCTGGTGCCCTTGTTTAGCTGTGACTGGCTGATGATTTGTGTCTGTGGAGGGAGGAGATGTTTGAACAGATTAAACAAAGCTTAACCTGAAGTGATAATGATGGGACTTTTTGCGAGGAGTCAGTCACTTTTTTGAAATGTGTCCTAAAATATAGACCCGAAACCACTGGTGTAGATTTTGTGGGGGTATCTTTACCTTTAAATTGCATAAGTAAAGACTACATTGTCAGCGAGAGTACCATCAACCACATGATCTCCTATGAGCAACATTTGGAAAAAGTGTAAAGGAAGAATTCTCTTCTAAGAGGAAGACCACTAAGAGAACCAGGAAGAAGCCTTGGAAGGCTGATTGGGGATGAGGGAAATGGAAGGAGACAAAAAAGGAGCATAGAAAGACCACACAACTACAGAAGAGACAAGAAAAAAAGTTCATTGTATTAAACAAAGGTATATAAAACATGGGGAGTGAAGGAGAAGGTGTCAGTCCATCATGGGAAATCCACCAGTAGCTTCAGCCTACAGCAGCAAGTCTACAGCAATCTAAAAAGTTGAATCCTGATGACATCTCTCTGGGTGCTCTGGCTTCCTCCCACAGTCCAAAGTGGTTAGTGAGGTTAAGTTAAGCCATTCTAAGCTGGTCATAGGTGTGAATCTCTGTCTGTCTCTCGGTGTTAGATCGACAACAGACTGATGACCTGTCCAGAGTGTTTTTAAAACAAAGTAAAAAAAAAAAACAGTGTAAAAAAAATTTGTTGGGCTCTGAAAGCATAATCATGTAAAACAAAACAAAAGAGAGAAACACCCAGGGACACTCAAAGAAAAGCCAGGTTTATATAATAAACATCAACTCACATAGTAAAGACTGCTTTGCGCCTGCACCTCAGTCTTTATCAGAACATCCTGGCACACTGCTATTTCCTGTCAAAACCAGTGATGAGCTGATAGCAAGACTGCAGGTTTAAGCAAACACTGCTCAATTAGCAGTTCTGCACGGTTTTTTATGAAAACCACATTTTGCTTTTAAATATTTTCAAGATCAGAACTTCTGTATTTACAGGAAAGGCAAATGCATCAGATCATCAACTCTCAGTTCACAAAAGCCAACCAACATTTGATGCTGTTGTTACTCATTTCTCATACTCCAGTTTTCAGGATTCACTCTGAAACTTTTCATCATTCCTTTAATATTCGGACGTTAAGCTGTTAAACCAATACAGTCCTTAAAATCAGGGTTACCAGGGTTACCAAGGCAATAGCAGTCAAAGATCACTCATTAGTTTTGCAAAGTTTAAAAAACGTATCTGAGTTATGATGAAGTGTTGCCACTAACTCACAAACCACATCCTAAATAAAGATTAGATGGTCAGGTTGATTTAACTGGTTTCCGTCACTCTTTGTTTTTATTGTTCGGTGTTCGGTTTCAGCATCAAGAGCTTCGACAGAGAAAGCAGCTGTTGTTCCCCATGCTAATGCTGCTGCTGCTGCCTCGCTTCGTGCGTATCTAGGCCTCTGTGTGAATGTCTCAGTGTGTCACCAGCAGTGATTACAAATGTCATTGTTTAATGCCAACACACACTCACATGCAGCGGAGCGAGAGGGGGTGGTAAAAAGGGAGTTGGTGTCTTTTACATATATTATTTACGGCAGTGAGCCTTGATGCAACCGAATAGTAAATTAAAGTCATTGTGTTTGTGTTTATAATGATTTTACAGTTTACTTTGCACCTACTGGATGAACTGGCTCCAAAACAGTGGTTTTGCTTCCCTGCGCAAGACTGCCAATGAAAACTAAACATGCTCGTGTGCTTTACAAACTTTATGAGGAGGAACTCTGTTGCTCTACCCTTTGTCTAAGCGTCGTGTTAGTCTCTTCCTCTTGACTGAAACGCGCTGTAGCGCGTGCCGGAGTTTGGTGCGTAATGGACACCCATCCATCCTTTCTACTCTTGCCTCCTCCTCATTGTTCTCCGTGTTCCTGGCATGCTGGGCTGTCTCCCGAGTCCAGAGAGAGGAGGAGACAAAGCCAGAGATGACAATAAATCGTCTGAGTCACCATCTGAGGGAGAGACAGAGGGAGTGAGAACGACTTCGTGTCCTTTACGCATGTTATGAGCACTTTCAGAGACGCTTGTCGTGCGTCCTGGCGCATCCAGTGATTAGAGGTTTCCAAAGTACAGCGGAATAGTAAATGACTGTATTTCAGTTTATCCGTGTTTGGAATTAAATGTGGCAGCTTCCCTGTAGTTTTGGAGCAGGTGCTTTTTCCCGCTAACCGTTTGTCTCTCGGTGCATCACTGACAGAAATGTCGGGTCAGAAACCGTCGTTGAAGAGCGACGACTCCGCGCAGAGCCGCTTTCAAGTGGATGTGGTGATGGAGGCATCATCTGCAGCTCCCGGCCCGGCTGCCCCCTCTGCTCCGGCATCCACTGATGGATCCAGACCTCCCGAGGAGTCCAAGGGCCGGTTCAGGGTGGTGGGCTTCATGGATTCGGGCGCGATGGACATTGGACTCCCACCTGATGTCTCCCATGAGCCGGACACGGCAAATAGCGACTCAGTCAGCCTCCATTCAACTGGCACGGGGCACACTCACATCTCTGACTCCCACTCCAACACCTACTACATGAGGACCTTCGGACACAACACTATAGACGCCGTGCCTAACATTGACTTCTATCGGCAGACAGCCGCGCCATTTGGGGAGAAGTTGACCAGACCGTCGCTGTCGGAGCTACACGACGAACTCGATAAGGTAACAAAAATAATTTTTTTTATTTGCTTTGTTATTAAATGATGCTATTAAATTTGTTATTAAAATAGTTGATCTCAAGTTTCACATCAAACACAACGAAGGCGTGAGTAAAGAAAGAGTCACGTTATGGTAAAATCGTCAACTTTAAAAGGCAGTTTAGACGCGGAGAGTTTAAAGGTTATTTCCCAGATTTAAAAACAGAACTAACACGTCACTACGCACTTCCCTGTTCACCTGATGCAAGTCAGTTCATTTTTCAGTAAACAGAAAAGATTCCCTTCGCTCTTCGCTCTACACAATACTGCTTCTCATGACCCTGCAGGCACTCCCAGCCGCGCTCCCACTCCTTACATACAGTTCAAGGTAACAGACCACCATTGTACAATAACAGTGAGCCAGAACACCAACTGGGCAAAGCACCACCAGGACCTTTAGGCGTGCCTTCATATAAACAGTGAAAAAACACGAAAATCAGGTATCTCGTAAAGGTGTCGCCCTACTTCCAGTTGTGCTTCTTGTTGAACAAGTTCACTAAAGTACATCCAAAGTTATTGCTTTGATGATGGAATTGGACAGTCTGACACATCTCTCCAAATTCTCCCAGTCTGGCAGTGGATTGGGATCCAGTGACAGTGAAGGCCATATGAAGTGATATGTGTTATTTATCATCAAGTCCTCTTTGCCTCTGATTCACTCACATTTTTCATTTGATTTGTCATAGAAATGAAATGTTTTTTTCTTGATTATATGCGTCAAAAATCATAAATTTCACTGGTTCAAATTTCTGTGGTTAAGCCTATAAACTGCCTTTATGACTGGACTCAAAATCAAACCTGATGGACTCTAAGGTGCCAAACTGGAGGCACTTTAGGCTGTTTAGCGGAATCGTTCCTTGTATGTGCACATACACAGATATTTAGCCATCTCACAGAATCACCAGCATACACATACACGGACATCAGTTTGTTTGCTTGAGCGAGGCTGTGGATAACTAACTGCTTTGCTGCTGTGGGGGTCATGGAAAATGAGTTATACTGCACATGAAATGATTTCACTTATTATATAACAAAGTCACAAAAAACTAATTAACACACTATCTTTATCCTTATTGTGGTGAAACGCCACCTTTAAACCAAAGATGTAAGTTTTCCAACCCAGGTAAGTTTAGTTAACTAAACAGTTTTACAATTTGAATCCACTTAATAAGTAGATAATTAAATAGTAAAATGTTTTAAATCAAATATATATTGAAATAAATAAGATAAGACCACATTTATTCATTGCTTTTATTACTTTTATTTTTTCCTGTATACTATTGACCAGTCAATCAACTTATTTAACTTCTACCCAGAGTTTCAGATTTTCTGTTAGGATTTGACTAAAAAACTTCTCTCTCACAAAACTAAGACCACTGACTGTCTAATCAGAACTCAAGAGTCGCAAGTTCTCAACTTTTAAGTCATTGTAATTATCCTGTTGATTGTTAGGCTTCAGCTCTGTTCAAGTTTCTGCTTTCCTGACTTGTCTGGATTTTTTTTCCCATCAGGAGCCCTTTGAGGATGGTCTGGCCAATGGAGAAGAACCATCGGCAGCTGAGGAAGCGGCAGCACTGGCAGCGAAGGAGGCCAAAGGAGGAAGTGTCAAATTTGGTTGGGTTAAAGGAGTCCTGGTTAGTGTTCATGTCATGAATGAAAGCACAAGGTGCACTCTGCTTCTTCTTGTGGTATTTAAATGTGTTGAACTACTTAAACAAAACTGTAAACAGTCAACTTTCTTCCCACAGAGCGGGCAAGAATGAAACACTTTAGTGTCCCATATTTAGACAATGAAATACATAATCTCATCATCTTAAGGTATAAAATGTATTTTCTCTGGTTATATTCCTGTCAGGTTGGATCATTTGAGAATAATTCTAGATTTAGGAAATGTAAACAAACTTCAAAGATCCCTATACAGACAATGAGACACTCACTTCTTCTCTCTAAAGCTACAGTAAGCTAAGCTAAAATATTGCAGAAACTGGTTCTGCATAGAGTCTACACAGTGGTGATCAGGGGTGGAAATGTGCTGCCTCTCATCCGAATATTACTGCATCAATGAGAATGCGCTGTATAGAAGTATAGAAGCTTGTCTGTCATATTGCACATGAAAAGCTTGTTATTAAGGTTGGTGCAGGAAGGAAGACAGTAAACTCTACCCAAAAGCAAATGATGTACGACATAAATATAGCATCGTCCTTTTCTCAGGTATTTTTGGCTTTCTTTTTGGCAGCTGTAAGGTTTAATTCAATTCAATTCAGTTTTATTGAATTGAAGCGCATTGAGGCGACTATCGTTGTCGCCTCAAGGCACTTTAAATTGTAAGGTAGACCCTACAATAATACATACAGAGAAAAACCCAACAATCATATGACCTCCATATGAGCAAGCACTTTGGGACAGTGGGAAGGAAAAACTCCCTTTTAACAGGAAGAAACCTCCAGTGGGACCAAGCTCTGGGAGGGGCGGGGCTATCTGCTGCAACCGGTTGGGGTGAGAGAAGGAAGACAGGATAAAGACATGCTGTGGAAGAGACAGAGGTTAATAATGAGTGTGATTGAGTGCAGAGAGGTCGATTAGCACAGAGTGAATGAGAAAGGTGACTGAAGAAGAAATACTCAATGCATCATGGGAATCCCCCCAGCAACCTACACCTGTTGTCTGTCTTTACGTTTTAACTGACTTCTGTTTGTGTGTTGCAGATCCGCTGCATGCTGAATATCTGGGGTGTGATGCTCTTCATCAGAATGTCCTGGATTGTGGGACAGGCTGGAATTGGTGGGTACAAACAATTAGTGACTCAGGGAAATGTGTGACACCCTTCATCACCCAGTGCTCATATGACAGGCTTACATGCAAACAAACGTTGCTTTGCGAGCCATCAGAATATTAAACAGCTTGTTTGCAGAAAGAAGATGAGCTGAGAGGCTGAACCAAGATAAATGAGGATTGTTTTGAACTGATTCATGTTATTCATGCATGCGTAAGGAGGGAGGCTATTTTTAAGGTCTGATTTTGTTCAAGCTCCTCTAGTAAAGTCTAAGCATAAAATCACGGAGTCTGAAATAAGCAGAAAAGGTCTCTTTTAAATTTAAGTAGAGATAAAAGTATTAAACAGTCCTCCACCCACACAGTAAAACACCTAAATGGAATGCATACTATCTTTAAGTTGTGCATAAAGGTACAGTAGAACCAGCTAGGAAATGGTGTGCTGGCTACACACTGACGAGATTTCAGATCAATTACATTATGTATTACTGCTCATTTCTACTGATAAGTCATTAAAAATAGCTCCTCTATGTTTTGCAGACTGCTTATTGACCACATAAGCTCGTGTACAAATATAGCAGGCACTAGCTCTAGCTGGTTAGTGTACTATAATAGTTTTTTCTTAGAACTTTATTTAATCTTACCTTTGATGATGAACTGAATCTAAAAATAAATAAATAAATAACCTGCGAGGAAGCCCATTTGGCCCATAGGCATGTTTTATATTTTGTTTTCAACTGTACTGATTTGAACTTGGATAACATTATCGTGTTATTTTATTGAAGACTGCTGATTTTTGCTCATTTGCCTGTAACTTCACATATTTTTCATGTTTTTGTAAAACAGGACTGACCATTGGTATCATCTTGATGGCCACTGTGGTCACCACCATCACAGGTCTGTCTACATCTGCTATAGCGACCAACGGCTTTGTACGAGGAGGTGAGACCCATATAAGACATTTTACTTTTACAAAAGGTCTTTAAGGTATAGAATTTCAAAACTAAACCTACAAATGTACTAGAAACTGCTCAAAATGTATGACAGCAGCAATAATTTATATCACTTAACATCTGAATTTCATGCCGTCCAGGAGGAGCATACTATCTGATCTCCAGAAGTCTGGGGCCTGAATTTGGAGGCTCCATCGGTCTTATCTTTGCCTTCGCCAATGCCGTAGCTGTGGCCATGTATGTCGTAGGCTTTGCAGAGACAGTCGTTGAGTTGCTCAATGTAAGAAATGCTCTGGTGTACTTATGGAAATCTCTCTGTGATATGCGAAAGATTCTCATTTCGAATCAACCTGTTAATTGGTTGCAGGACGTTGATGCCTTGATGACTGATGAGCTCAATGACATTCGTATCGTTGGGACTTTGACCATCATCTTGTTGTTGGGAATCTCTGTAGCTGGGATGGAGTGGGAAGCCAAGGTATAATTACAACAATGTCCCGGAAAAAAACGTCAAAACCAAAGGCTTCAGTGAGATTTCAATAAAAGGGCATAAATCATTTGTGTCCTTAAAAATGTTGATTATGTATTTCTCGTCAAAGCTGCTGAGTTAACTTTGGGATTTGGAGCTTTTAAGAAAAAGTCTGCCAGTGTATGTGTTCATTTCTGAATGCAAATCTGCAATCAAACTAAATATAAATTTAAAAAAGAAAATTTTTTGGTGCGTTAGCACCAGAATTAAGCATGTATTTCATTTAGAGGATATAAAGTACTGATACAATTGATATCTGGATCGATCCCTCCACCTCTGCCTCTACCTACCTCTGTATACATTGGTGATTTGAGTGTCTGCACAGACAAAGCAACATACATGTTTGTAACAGGGTGATTTTAACTGAGAAACTGGAGCAAATCTCTCTTCTTTCTTACTCATGTGTTTTCTTCTACTGTCCATCAGGCTCAGATTGTCCTCCTTGTGATTCTGCTGGCAGCCATTGTTAACTTCTTCTTTGGATCCTTCATGCCATCAGAAAGCAAAGAGCCTAAAGGATTTTTCGGATACCGCAGTCAGTCTGCATTCTTGTCATTTCTTCACACGGGGATTAGCATCCTCTAAATTCAGTGTTAGGATTCGTGTTGATAATCTGTCTTATATATTCTTCTCTCTTGATTCTTCTCTCTTACAGCGGCCATCCTTTTAGAGAACTTTGGTCCAGAATTCAGAGATGGGGAGACGTTTTTCTCCGTATTTGCCATTTTCTTCCCCGCAGCTACTGGAATTCTGGCTGGAGCCAACATCTCCGGAGACCTAACCGTGGGTTTTTCATCTTTGTACATTTATATAAATTCAAGTGATGATTTTGGTCATATGTTGTGACAGTATTGCTTTTTGTTTACACAGTAACCAGATCACACAGAGACTTGTGAGAAAAGAAAACTCACCTTCCAAAGTTTTTTTTTT